CAATCGATGATCAAACATCAGATGCAGGAGGAACAATGCAGGTCCCGTCCTGCCCGTGGAAGACTGGACCAGCTCTCTACCCTCACTAGTGCCCTCAAGGGGTCATGGAAGTTTGCCCATCCAGTCTACATGTGTTTAGTGGACTTGGAGAAATCTTGCAATCGTGTTCCTCAAGGTACACTGTGAGGGGTGGTCCATGAGTCTGGGACTGGGGCCTGTTGCTACAGGCCAATCAGTTCCTGTATAAGTGGTACAAGAATTTGGTTTGTATTGCCCACTGTAGTCAGACCACATTAGGATGGGAGTTGGAAACTGGCAGGACTGCTCGTTGTCACCAATTCTATTAACTTTCATGGACAGAATTTCTCAGTGCAGCCGGGGGCAGAGAGAGTCCTGTTTGATGGCGTCAAGATTCAATCTCTTCTATTTTCAGATGATGTGGTTCTGTTGGCATCATCCTGCCATGACCGTTGGCTTTCACTGGAACCATTCGCAGCAGAGTGTAAAGTAGCTGGGAGTGATTTTCTGTCTCAAGTGGAGGAGTTCAAGTATCTTTGAGTTTTGTTCATGAGTGAGGGGAGAATGGAGAGAGGCACTGACAAATGGATTGATGCAGCATTTGCAGTATTGCAGAATCTGTGCTAGTCCATTGTGGTGAAGTGGGCTGAGTTGTAAGGCCAAGGTCTCTATTTTACCGTTTGGTCCACGTTTATACCCTCACCTATAGCTGCTAGCTCTGGGTAGTGACTGAAAGAACGAGATCACAGATACAGGTTGTCGAACTGAATGTCCGCAGGGTAGCTGGACTCTCCCTTAGAGATAGGGTGAGAAGTTCAGTTTTCCAGGAGACACTCAGAGTAGAACCACTGCTCCTTCACATTCTGAGGAGTCAGTTGAGGTGGTTTGGGCATCTGGTAAGGATGCCCCCTGGGCACCTCCCTAGGGAGGTGCTCTGTCCATGTCCGACTGGAAAGAGGTCCAAGTACATGCTGGGAAGACTATGTCACTTGGCTGGGCTGGAATTGCCTGGGTGTCCTCCCAAAAGTGCTAAAGAGATGTCTAGGCCTCCCTGCTTATGCTGCGGTCCTCGCAACCTGACTTTGGAACAAACAAACGATACTGGATGGGTGGATGGACATTTCTTAATTGTGGTGAAATGGGATACATTTGTGCATTTATTGTGAAACATATTAATGTATTTAATTATAGTATTCATATTTTTTCCATGATTCTTTTAGAACACTTAAAAATAAATTAGCTGTCTAATCAACACAGAAAAAATATCTTTTAGTGCTATTTCACATTATTGTTTGGCTTTTTTTTTTCCTATGATGATGTTGTATTCTCTCAAAAACAACATGGCGGTGTGACAGAACACTATATTAGCTAACAAAAATAACCCTGTACATTTTGCATGATACAGTTTGTTTAGTTTGTCGCTGTACTTTCCATCAAACGGCATCTACTACGTGTGCTGAACATAGACCATGTTTCTGCCACTGAGGTGCATTATAACTGTCTGTCTATACAGGAAGCTTTAAGTTGAAGCTACATATTGGGAGCATTCCTTTCTAAGCAGGCTTTAAACATCAATCCACACTGTAAATAAATGGGAGGTTTTCCTAACTAGCTTGAAAAACAATAAAAATAGGCTCTAGTTTGGATATCAAATAGTCTATCCTGGAAAATACTTCTGCCCTCTTTGATTTATGACTGATGCCATGGCTGAAAAGATACTAAATATTGATAACTATTTGACAGAACATCACTTCAAAAATGGCTAGAGTGCTTTTAACAAAAGGGACCTCCTGTTGAACAATTAAATTTACCGTCAATAATGGCTGACTATATAATTATGGAATAGAGAAATCTAAAACTCAGAAAATCAGCTGCAGATTTATACACAGCCTGAAATGTACTATTTTTGTCAAACTCACTGGATTCCTCTATATTTTAAAGATTACACATCTGATTTGTTTACATCAGTCATATATGTGCCAAGTAGTGTGCAGCACAGCTTGAAATGGAATGCAAACTCTTCCTACTCTGCATGCATGCTGTTAGCCAACATGCCAAATGTGTAAAGCTATTTATATTAATACAGCTCCTAACCAGTGAATTTGCTAAATTATTTTTATTATTTTTATTTCACTCAATATATTTTTTTTAAATTGCTTCATCCAATCAAAAAGTACACTAACCATAAGCCAGCCAAAAAATTGAATGTAAAATTTTTACTTTTCATTTAGCATATTACTTTTTAAGGGTTAGATTTACGTTCAACCAGCATAAATAAAGCATACATTTAAATGCTATATTATATTTATTTGACAAGTGCAATTCTGCCTATGTTTTCCTTGTGTAATGCATAATGAGATCATAACAAGTGAACTTGACTACAACAAAGGAACATATTCTTTTTCCAACATCAAGTAATTTTTCAGACATGAAGCCCTGTCAATCACAGCATGCATCAAAAAACAATTCACTCACTAATTCACAAAAACATGTTTTATGTAAAAGTGCTACAGTTACTTGGTCGGCATGTTAATTGACTGTATCTAGTGTTCATAAACACATGACACCAAATGCAAAAACATTAATTTAACAAGAAACACTTATAATATATAATACTTTATTCAATGTTCTAAATGCTAATCTGAAAACGTTGCTCAAAAATAATAACTCAAAAATGCCTTTAGCTTCATTCTCCAGCTGTTTTCTTGCTCTGATGTAATGGGGCCAATGTTGAATCACATTTACACACAAAAAAACTTAAAGCCAGGAAAGCTGATGTGTTTGGGAAATAAAAACACTTTATCCATGGTGGTTGAGTCTTTTCACTGTGCCTTGCAATTAATAACGTTTTATCAACATGATCATACAACTGTGTGAAATGACTGGTTGAGTATTTGTAAGAGATGTGTGCAAGGCAAGAATATAGAAAAACGCCTGATCTTATCCTCTGTGTATGTGTATGTGTGTGTGTGTGTGTGTGGGGGGGGGGGGGGGGTGTCTGAGACCCATCCTTCTTCTGATGCATCTTTGGCATCTCCTGTACCAGTGAGTGAAACCCCGTTATCAGGATGAAGCAGGGCCTCACTCCAGACTGCTGAACCATAATGAGCTCCTCATGGTAGCCAACTTGTCTTCCCAAATAAATCACATACTGCAAATACACACACATCCACACGTATCTACTGTGTGGGCTCTGGTCTCTCACATACAGTGTCTCCGTTAGACCTCAACATTCAAAGCTCACCGACAACAGATGGCACATAAAGATGGGAATTTCCCTTTGTGTTGCATCATCGTGTAGGAATCCTTCCTGGAACTTCAAAGATGTCTCATCTCACATGTTTACAGTAAATGATGGTAACAGGATCAATTTGTAATGTTTTCCATTAGTTGAAGTTCTGCGTAATTTGTGAATTTACATTTAAAAAATCACATAAATTGTAACTTTTTACAAATCAAACAATAAATAATTGGAATACATTGTACGACTTGGTGTGAGTTGTGTTAAATTTGGTACATACAGAAAGTTTTTGGTGCATTTTTTTTTTGTAAGTCAGCTTCTTGCCTCAGAAATAAAATAAGCAATAAGACAGATCATTTATTTACTGGCTTACAGTTAAAATAAAAATAAAAATAAAATAAAATAGAAAATTTTCTTTGTCACATTTGGCCTTTTGACAAAAAAAAAAAGAAGATTAAACCAGATATTAAGTTGATTTAAAGAAACTCTGTTAAATGCACTAAGATGAAGTAAAGTAAATGTAAAGTAAGCAAAATATTTAGCGTACTTAACAATGTTATCATTTCTATTCTAAAGACGCCAGTGGAAAAGTATTATCTATCTGTACTTTTGCTCTAGAACAGGACTATGTTTCATGTTTCCTGTAAGCTCAGTATTATTTGTGATTTGTTAACTATGTTTATTATTTTTATTTCTATAGGATTAAGTTTGGGCTAAAAAGGAAAACACCTTGTCAAAGTCAGCTACACATCTGGCCAATAGGACGTTGACAAATCAAAGGACAGCAACTGTGCATACAACATTAGATGCACAATATTACAAACAATTTTCATTAGATAATGTTTGAGTTTGATTAGAAAACCACTTGGCTTTACTTTGGGCTACTTGAAAAACAAAATAAATATTTGCTCTGCATTTTTTGAAGAATGTATCTCAAAAATCTGAATGAAAACAATCTGAATGAAAAATAAACACTAAATTTGTCTGCTACATCTGGCTATAACTGAACTGAACCATGTTTTCTGTGTCATTTTTTGTTACAAAGCTGTGTTAGAGAATGCATAGTTAATAGTTAATATTAGTAACTAAGATATTTTGTTTGGTGACATATATAGTAAATACAGGAAAATAGTTAACATAAAAATACATCAGTTCTAATTGAGCTTGTCCTTGACTGTGGAAAACTAAGAATGATTGTTTAAAGTTAAATCATAACATAGTTTAAAAGCATTGCCTGCCAATCAAAGCTAATAGTAATGTCTGATTGCAGGCCAGCTGAGTTTTATCAGTGAAACACTTAAAAATGCTGCCAAGTCAATAAGAGCTGTTGAACACTGCACCCGTTTGATTTTCCTTTGAGTCAAAACTAATCCAAATCTGAATTGGATTGTTCCTAAAATTGGGGTGTTTCTGGTAAATATGAACTTCACAGTGACATAAAAAAGTGTTCCTGTTCTTCTAGCATCTGGGCGAGACAAACAGCTGCAGAGTCAATTTGCCAAACTCCTCTTATGTAACTCACAGTAAGAAATCTGCTAAATCACTCACTGACCTTTCACTAAAAAACACTCTCAAGTAACAGCATGTGAGGCCACGTGCACATGCACCACCTTTCATATAAAACTACATATGTTTTGACACAGTACAAATCAAAATATATACAAAAGCAAAATTATACATATTTCCTGTTTATCAACCATGACAGTGCCAGATATGTGAAAGTGATAATCACTGTACGCACCATTGCAAATTAGCCCATCATACGTTGGACAAACCCAGTCATGGCACTCGCAGCGTGGACCGTAGAACCTTCCTGGACCTTTGGTCTCACAGATGCAGATGCCACAGTCGCACTTGCCCCTTCCACTGCATATTTTGCCATCCGGCGTCCGACAGCGGCGCAGCAACGACTCCGTGGACAGCCTGCACACCTGACCCACCTGGCTAAGGACAAGACAAAAGGTCAGTTGTTCTAGGCTGAAAGCTTCAGAGATAAAAGGCTAAGTTTGAGAAGCAATTTCCATATCTTGGTAAAATTGCTGTTTCTAAGATAAAGGCAAAATCAGAAAGGAAAGACAGATTTAACAAGAGGGGGAAAAAGCACCCTTCAGAATGTGAGCAATCTATATGTGAATAAAAAACAAAGCAGTGTCACATATGACTAAATAATAACAATAAGCTAAATTACTGGTATATTGGCAACTTTACTTTTTGAAAGTAGAGAGGTAACTGATGCTAAACATAATTTTGTTTTTGTCTGTGAATTGTGGAGAGTGTTTCATTTGGATGCATAATGATATTCTTTTTCTGTTGGAAATTTTTCCATATGGACTCAGATGCCCAATTTGGGAAAATAGTTCGGTTTCACGCAACCAATATTATATTGGTTTAAATATGGTGTATAAATATTCTAAATTTTCATCTCTTAGAAATAAAGACAAACTACAGTATATCCTGATGCATGCTCAATAATCCAGGTAGAAAAATCTAAGAAAAAAAAGTGGCCATCAGGGCACTAACGATCGGTCATTCGGACGATGGTCCTCCTTTATCATGTGAACAGCTAGTTCTGGATGATACCAGCAAACTAGTTGATCCACTATGAGAAGGGACTGTTTATAATACTGAGTTTGTTGCAGCTCCTCAGACTGAAGAAGTCTTTTGGATAAAAGACGAAACGTTTCAAGAAGTAACAAAAAAGGTTGAATCATGTCATCTGGACTTCGTTTTTTGGTTAAAAAGAAACGTTTCGCCCCTCATCCAAGAGGCTTCGTCAGTCTGAGGCCTAGCCATCTGGTATTACCCAGAAGCCACCCTGACTCTTGTGTTTCAAGCCTGCCTCAGATACCCCTGAAGTCTGGCCTTTTCACTAATGGTTTCAAAAACACAAAGTTTGTTTTCTCAGTCATCCAGGTATATAACAACAAAAAAGGTTGAATCATGTCATCTGGACTT